TATATATATATATATATATATATATATATATACATGTGTGTGTGTGTGCGTGTGTGTGTATTTAAGTGTGGATTCTATATTTTTGTGTAGATGGGCGGAAAGAGACAGTGACAAACATCTACAGATCTTTTAGCATCATAACTGTCATGGAGGAGGTTCTCCATGGACCTAATGCAACCATCAGTCATAATATACTGGCAAGGAGTCTCATTTCTGTGTGAGTATGCTGTCATTACTCAGAGACTTTACATAAACTAATTTAATCTTCTTAGAAAAGCTGTTTGTCATTAATGCAAATTGCCAGATACATGGTAAGAGTGCAAACAGAGTTAGGAGCGAAGCAAAGAAACGCCCAATGGTTAATTTGTTTTAAACAACTGTAGATCAGGTGTTTTAAACAGAATTTCAGTTTAACTCTTGTGCGTGCGAGGCCTGAGGCAAAAGTAGAGGACTGTGGAAAATGATACAAGTTTTACGTGTGTGGGGTCGGTTGGACCCCATTTCTACATACAAGGGTTAAAAATTTACAAGCCGCTGATGTCTTATCCACAGAAGATAACTCACTTGACAATTTCACATGATATTAAACAGCTTGTCCCACAGGTTGAAGCGAAGACTTAATCCATGAGGAAATAAGACTAAAAATTTCTACTATTATGAAGGAACTCCAGAACAATTTATGGTAAATCTTATCTGTAAATCTTTAAGCCACAGTTGATTGTTCACATGTTTCCTGAGTTCATGTTTCATACAGGGACATTGCTGGCAGATCACCACTTCCAGCCTTCATTTTCTCTTTAAATAATTGTTGGCTTATGTGTAAATTAATTTATTGGGTTTTATCAGGTCAGAATATATATAATTATGCCTCTGCCCCTAAAGAGGAGGGGTGCTTTGTGAGGCGGAAGCACAGCTGCATGGTTGCCATAGGAGAGCAAAGAATTTCTCAAACATGCAAGACAGATTCAAATCAACTCTCCAGGTATATTTTTGATGAGGGAATAACTTTATGACATGATGTAAAGCTAAAAAAAAGTTGAATTTGCATATTATTGCCTCTTTAATTATAGTGTGAATGTGTGAATGCAGATAATTCCCAACCACCAATCTTACCCCACAGCACATTTTTTGTTCCTTTCATAGGCGGTACAGTAACAAGTTCAGCTGCATTAGAATTGTTTATACAAGCAATGAAATGTTTTGTGTGTCACTCTATAGAAATGGATATGATTTCTGCTTTGAAGATCATTGGTAACTAATGTTTATGCTTTTTCTTATAGCTTACAAAAACAGGTTTTGCCCAGTACTTTGAGTCGGGAGAGTTCTCGGTTATTGATGTGTTGAGGCTGAGAGCGGTCGTTACCGCAGCAGTGCCTGGTTCAACATGCCTCGACATTAGATAGCATGTTATTATATATTTTCTATATTGTAATTTTATTGTATGGCTATTGTTCAGTTACAAAAAGGTTAAACCATAACAAAAAAATATTTTTTTTACTAAAATACCTAAAATCTAAAACAGCAAATTCTTGTATCCCTGATCACATTATATCCAGGGTTTGTTTTCATTTTTATTTTAATTCTTTAAATGTAAAATGTTGCATGAGAGGCATAGTCCAGCGCTACTCAATATACCAGATTGCCAGCGCTCAACTTCCAGAGACATCAGTCAGAGCTGGTCCAGTTTTAAAAGCTCAAGCTATGACAGATGTCAGCTGCAATCACACACACCATCCACCCTTCCACCTAAACACACCCAAAGTCCGTCTGTCCTTTGCGTCTACAGCAATATTACATCAGATTTACTTTCATTGGAGTAGAGTTAAAATCAAAGCTGAGCCCCCCTACCCCTCCCACCTCATCCCGTCAGCCCCAAGCAAATCCAATCAAAGCTCGATACTTTCAGTGACTGATTGGCTTCCAGTCCAATTGAATCTCTTCTGGAAGGGAAAAGGGGGCCACAGCCTTCCTTGCTGAGAGATATTATGCACTGGCAAGATAGTGACATGAAGAAAAGAGGGGGAGACAAAACAGAGAAGGAGAGGAACTTTAATTAAGATAGAGGGTGTATGATCTAGAACAGGGGTGGGCAATTATTTTTTCAAAAGAGCAACATGAGACTTTAAACGATGTT